TGAGGACATCAATACCATTGTTACACCCACACCCCTGCTGCTATACATATTGGACCAATTACTAGAGCTCGCGCATGCCAATTGAATTATCAGGTACTTTCATTTCTTGGTAATGATTCTGATGTTCATGAGAATATGATGCTGCCTAAATTGGATACATTTGTTTTGCTTACAAATGAAGGGCCTAGCATGGATAAGAGGGATGAACACTGGAGCAAGACCAAGCATGGAGATGATGGCATGCGCAAGGGGATCAAGAACGGAGTTACAAGTGATGATTTCAGGACTTTGAAGCCACCATAAGGAGTGCATGAAGCCTTGGATGAAATATACAAGATGCCACTTCATAAATTTCGTCCATAGGCTATTATAGGTGTTCACCTTATTATTTGGCCAGGCCCATGTATTTTCGAAATACTTAAGTATAGGCAATTTTTAGAGTCCGTATGTGTGGGGAAACAAGAGTTAGGGTTAGTTTCGGATCCCTCCTTCAAGGGCCACGAAATCCCCCCCTCTTCCTCCATATATACAGCCCTTAGGGCATCGTTTAGACTTTGGGTTTTGTTTAGATTAAAAGTTCGCCATAGCTGCAACTTCGCGTACTTCATTTGTGTCCAACGACCAGACCAAGACGTCACAAAAACCCACCTTCATTAATAAAGCTTTCCTCTTTATTCGCAATATCCAGATTGCAATCTTAGTTTCTTACTTGTTCTTCGTTTGCTCGTAGGAAATAGACCCTCGTGGTCAGGTTGATCATGCTCCGGCGTGGTCAATAACCCTCTGAAGTTGGTTTAGCAATTGCTAAGGCGCGACGTCTTCGCACGTTCGTAGTCGGATCGTCAAAGTTGACTCCCACAGAGAACGATATCTATCTCATCGAAACATCGGGACACCTTCGCCTCTATCACATACCCTCGATATCACTTCTATCTTTGCTTGCTAGTTGTTCGCTCTATCGCTATGTCACGCTACCTACCACTTGTTATATCATGCCTCCCATATTGCCATGTCAAGCCTTTGACCCACCTTTCCTAGCAAACCGTTGTTTGGCTAAGTTACCGCTTTGCTCAGCTCCTCTTATAGCGTTGTTAGTTGCAGGTGAAGCTGAAGTTTGTTCCATGTTGGAACATGGATATGTTGGGATATCACAATATCTCTTATTTTAATTAATGCATCTATATACTTGGTAAAGGGTGGAAGGCTCGGCCTTATTCCTGGTGTTTTGTTCCACTCTTGCCGCCTTAGTTTCCGTCATACCGGTGTTATGTTCCTTGATTTTGCGTTCCTTACATGGTTGGGTGTTATGGGAACCCCTTGACAGTTCGCTTTGATAAAACTCCTCCAGCAAGGCCCAAACTTGGTTTTACATTTGCCTAACAACCTATAACTTTCCCTTGGGGTTGCAAACCCGAGGGTCATCTTTATTTTAACCCCCCGGGCCAGTGCTTCTCTAAGTGTTGGTCTGAACTGAGTAGACCGCGGGGCCACCTCGGGGAAACTTGAGGGTTGGTTTTACTCCTAGGATGTCTCATCTGGTGTGCCCTGAGAACGAGATACGTGTGACTCCTATCGGGATTGTCGGCACATCGGGCGGCTTTGCTGGTCTTGTTTTACCATTGTCGAAATGTCTTGTAACCGGGATTCCGAGACTGATCGGGTCTTTCCGGGAGAAGGAATATCCTTCGTTGACCATGAGAGCTTGTGATGGGCTAAGTTGGGACACCCTTGCAGGTATAAACTTTCGAGAGCCGTGCCCGTGGTTATGTGTCAGATGGGAATTTGTTAATGTCCGGTTGTAGAGAACTTGACACTTTACTTAATTAAAATACATCAACCGCGTGTGTAACCGTGATGGTCTCTTCTCGGCAGAGTCCGGGAAGTGAACACGATCTTGTGTTATGCTTGAACGTAAGTAGTTTCAGGATCACTTCTAGCTTCTCGACCGTGGCGTTGCTTCTCTTCTCGCTCTCATTTGCGTATGTTAGCCATCATTTTTTTGCTTAGTGCTTGCTGCAGCTCCACCTCATTACCCTATCCTACCCATAAGCTTAAATAGTCTTGATCTCGCGGGTGTGAGATTGTTGAGTCTTCGTGACTCACGAATACTTCCAAACAGTTGCAGGTGCCGATGATACCAGCGCAGGTGGCGCAACCGAGCTCAAGTGGGAGCTCGATGAAGACCTTGATCGTCGTTTTGTGTCTTTTCTGGTTGATCAGTAGTGGTGCCCAGTTGGGACGATCGTGGATCTAGCATTTGGGGTTGACTTCTTTTATTTTTGTTCTGTAATCGGACCTTGGTTGTACTCTGTATGACGTATGTTTAACTTGTTATTTGTGTGAAGTGGCGATTGTAAGCCAACTCTTTATCCTTTTCTTATTCAGTATATGGGATTGTGTGAAGATCACCCCTTTTGCGACAAAACCACAATGTGGTTATGCCTCTAAGTCGTGCCTCGACACGTGGGAGATATAGCCGCATCGTGGGTGTTACACCGTGTGAAGCCTGACACATACGCATACGAGATTACTGCATTTCTTGACTCCTACCGAAAGATTGAGAACAATGCTTCACACTACTAGCTCCATGATGATCTCATTGAGCATTCGTGGCAACTCTATGGGAGATAAATTCCCATTTTTATTTAATAAATGAACTTCATATGTAATTGAGTGTGATTTAAACAATTTGTTGTTGTAATGATTATTCGAATGTGAACATTTGTTGTAATGAAAAATGAGTATTGTATTGTGAATTGCATTTCGGACCATTCATATTCATGTTTAATTTATATTATGATTCTATTAGATTTATACGGTTAAAACTAGAATTTACGAAACTCTGTAAAATTGCGGTACCGTGAGGTCTCAGACGCGGAACAAATCCTATATTGTGGGATGACTTTACAAGATCTTTTTCATACCGGAGGCCTCGTGATATCATAATTTTTGTTACAAGCGGCATGTAAATGAATTTCGCAAACAAATTTTGTGGGGACTGGATATTTTGGATCTGCTAGTCTAAAAAGCTATTTTTCTTCGAGGGGAGTTTGTTTGATACTTCTTGTTTTGGAAAGACTAAATCTGATAATCAATCGCAATAGCCCAAACAAGGCACCTTCATAAGAGTATCTCCAGCCGCGCCCCCAATAGGCCCCAAGGCCATTTTTAGCATTGGCGCTGGAAAAACAGCTCAGTCGCATTCCCAAGAGCCCAATTTTCGTCGGTTAGGGTCGAAACTGACGACGACGGACCCAGGCCGAATCCAACGCACTGGGGGGCGTCTGAGGGCACCGGGGGAATTGTTTTTGGCGCGAAAGAACTGCGGGCCTGCCGAGTCAGCGACCCCACGCATCGTTGTCCTCATCGCCTCGGTTTTCCAAGGGGAATCAATGCCAAGGCTGCCGCCGGTCATCCTTTCATTGATTCCTGACGGGCGGCGTAGTGCGGCGACGCGCCCTCTCCCGCCACGCGTACATACGTTTGCCGCTCCCCCGGGCGCTATAAAAGCTGCCCCTCCCTTGCTGGTGGACGCACTCGCCTCGCAGCCCCTCTCTCTCGTCGCCGACGCTCTCTCTTCCTCTTTCTCCCCGCCTAGCCATCGCGTGCACGCCCCGCCGATGGGAGAGTGGTTTCCCGGCGATGGAGCGGTGGCCAACGGCTTCGGCCGCCGCCACCTGCACGAGTGGGAAGCCAACCTCCTCCACAAGGCGAACTACCCGCCGGCGCCCGACATGCGCGTCCGAGGCGATGGAGGCTCAGCGCCGGGGGCATCCCAGTCCCCCGCAGCCCGACGTCGACCATCCCGGCTACTTCCACGCCGAGATCGAGCGTGTTCGGGCCTCTCTGATGAAGGAGGAGCGGGACCTCCCGAAGTACGCCGCCGACGACCACACGCACTGGGTGGCGTACTTCCAACGCCGGCAAGAGGAGTGGCTCGCCTCCACCAACACACCGGTGATAAGGGGACACAACAACAGCGACGGTCGCCGCCTGTGGTGGGGCACCCCCAACCGCACACTCCATGCCGTCCTCGAGTACCTCGAGGGCGGCAATGATCGTCGCTCGAGTATCCGGCAGCCCCGGCCCCGTCCCCCGCCGGAGTGGCCGCCCGTGGCTGCCGAGGCGCATGCTGGGCGGTTCCTCCTCCTCTCCCTATTCCTCCTCCCACTCCTCCGGGTCGCCGGCGCTCGTCAGCATCAACGCCGAGCCCGTGGAAACGTCGCTCCGCCGGTGCACCCGCGACGCCGCCCTCGTCATCAACGAGGGCGGCTGTGCCTCCTCGGCTCCTACCTACCGCCTCGTCAAACCGAAGATGGAGCCGGGGCTCGCCACCGTGAAGAGCGAGCACGATGACATGGCCGCACTCGACGACGAGGCCGCCATGAAGTGGGCACGGGAGGATTGGGCCCAACTGGAGATGGAGCGCCATCGCGACGCCCTAGAGGAGATTGCCGCTCGTCGCCGTGCGCGATAAGGGAGGCGTTATCGTCCTCGAGGATAGCGACGACGACGCGCCGCCGCCAGCCGGAACCAGGGCGACCCCGGGCAAGGGTCCAGCAGGGACGACCGCGGTGTGAAGAAGGAGAAGGAGGACGACGACGGCGGCGACTACGACGCCTTTAGCAAGCTCTTCGGCTTGTAGGCGCGGCAGCAACAGTTTTTTTCCTTTTAGTACATTTATATGTTTTTAATATGTAAAATGACTGCAAAACGCCTAAATATCGCCAAATCTATATCCTATTTGCCAAATTTTGGCTAAGTATATTTTTAAAAATATTTACAAAACGTTGACGAGGGGCGACCTGGGGCGGCGGCTGGAACCAGATCACCCCCACGCCAACCGGCCCCGAGGGCGGCGCTATTTCCAGCCGGGCCGAACCCCGGAGATGCTCTAAAGGCCCAGGATCCCATCTCCCTCCTCCCACCTCCATCACCATCCGCCTCCGGCGGCGCCGCCGGCCACCTTCATAACCCACCACACAATAGCCCTCCGCGCCATGCCCCTGCCCCTGCCCGTTCCCACCTCCCGCCTCCTCGCCGCCATCTCCGCTGCTGCGTCCTCAACTGCAGACCTCCGCCGCCTCTCCCACCTCCTCCTCACCTCCTACACCCCACTCCCCCCGCTCCGCTGCCTCAATACCCTCCTCATGGCGCTCGCCCGCCACCGCATGCTCCCGGACATGGAGTCCTTCGCATCCCGCATGCCCGCGCGCAACCTTCGCACGTACACCACCCTTATCAATGCCTACTGCCTCGCCGGCGACCTCCCTGCTGCCAAGCGGCATCTTGCCTCCCTACTCCGCGCTGGTCTTGCGCCGGACTCTCATGCGTATACCTCATTTGTTCTCGGATATTGTCGGGCGGGGCTGCTTTCGCACGCCTGCCGGGTGTTCGTGCTAATGCCGCTCCGAGGATGTGCACGCACTGTGTTCACGTACACTGCTCTGCTCCATGGGCTGTGTGGCGCCGGTATGGTGCGTGAGGCTGTGGCAGTGTTTGCTGGGATGCGGGCAGACGGGTGCGCCCCTGACACACATGTGTATGCCACGATGGTGCATGGACTGTGTGGGGCGGGGCGAACTGGAGAGGCAGAGGTTCTTCTCGTGGAGGCAATGGCTGAGGGTTTTGAGCCAAATGTGGTCGTCTACAATGCCCTGATTGATGGCTACTGCAATGCCGGGGACCTGGAGCTCGCGGTTAAGGTTTATGAGAGGATGGATCTTAAGGGCTGCTCAGCAAATGTGCGAACGTATACTGAGCTGATATGTGGGTTCTGCAAATCTGGCAAGGTGGACAGAGCCATGGTGCTGTTCAGCCGGATGGTCGAGGCTGGTTTGGCTCCAAATGTGGTGACATACACGGCCTTAATTCAGGGGCAGTGCAATAATGGGCAGTTGGAATGTGCTTTTAGGATGCTCCAATCGATGGAGGCCACCGGGCTGGTTCCTAGTGAGTGGACTTGCTCGATGTTGATTGATGCTCTGTGCAAACGTGGAAGGGTTGGGGAAGCTCAGTTGTTTCTTGGGTCTCTTATACAGAAAGGATACAGGGTGAATGAGATTGTCTACACCAGCTTGATTGATGGACTGTGCAAGGCAGGAAAGGTTGATGCTGCTGACAAGTTAATGCAGAAATTGGTTTCACAGGGGTTTGTGCTAGACGCTCACACATACAGTTCACTAATTGATGGATTATGCAGGCAAAAGGAGTTGTCACAAGCGATGTTGGTGTTGGATGATATGATGGTGAAAGGAGTACAACCCAATGCTGTCACGTATACCATTCTAATTGATGAGCTTGTTAGGGAGCTAGGACCTGAAGGTTCAAAGAAGATACTTAATAAGATGATTGCGGCAGGAATTAAGCCTGATGTTTTCACCTACACAATATTTGTTCGCTCCTACTGTCATGAGGGAAGGATGGAAGGTGCTGAACATATGATGGTTGAAATGGTTGATCAGGGCATTTCCCCTAATTTAGTGACATATAACACTTTGATTAGTGGGTATGCAAATTTAGGACTAGCCAGTCAAGCATTTTCAGTTTTTAAGCACATGGTTGCTAGTAGGTGCAAGCCAAATGAGGTGTCCTACACGGCCCTGCTTAGATTATTGGTAAAGAAAAAATCCTCTAATAATATCCTTGCCAGCTCTGTTGATATATGGAAAATAGCAGAAATGGAATATCTCCAGGAGCTTCTGGAGGAGGTGGTTAAGCTTCAGTTGCTTTCAGACATTGAAATTTACAATTGTTTTCTTAGGTCTTTATGCCGAGTTGATAGATTGGAGGAAACCAAAATTTTGCTCGGTGAGATGCAGAGTGCTAACTTGACCCCTGGCGAGGATGTATATACTTCAATTATAGGGTGTTGTTGCAGACTAAAAATGCCAACAGAAGCTTTGACATTTCTTGATTCAATGATCAAAAGTGGTTATTTACCACGTGTAGAATCGTATAGGCATATTATTTGTTCTCTTTGTGAGGAGGGAAGTATTAAGACTGCTAAAAAGGTTTTGGGTGACATGTTATTGGAGGAATACAACTATGATGAGATAGTTTGGAAGATTCTGGTTGATGGTCTATTGCGGAAGGGCAATGCTGCCGAGTGTTTGATTCTGCTCTCAGTGATGGAGGAGCAAGATTATCGCCCTGGTGATGCATTGTATGCCAAGCTTACAGGTAAAGTATCAATTGCAAATGATGCACATGAAGTTGCTCAATAAAATTATTAGACAAACCAATAAACTGCCGTGTTTTGATGGTCCATTGCCGAGGCATATGCATTTGCATGTCTCAGTTCCACTCCAGCATATCTTCTGCCCGTTATTGGTTTCCTTTCCACGATTTCAGGCTTTCAGCAATGTATAGAATCATATGGAAGATCTCAGTCATTTTATTTGATAGATTGTAGGACGATGTCTAGTGGAATATGTTCATAATTCAGTTTAGTAACACTGGTAGATTACAACTCATATGATATTATGTAACAGTATAAACTATGAAAAGTCTTTCATCAGTGACCAAGAATTTACTAACTTACTAATATGATGGAAAGCTTGATGTAAAAACAGAATGGAAAGCTAAATCATGCATTGTGTTCTCTAATGGAAACTGGGCTTTAACCCGTTTGCTTAATTTTTTTAATATAGTATTGTGTAGTTAAACGGATTTGGATCTAATATATTTAATGCTAATAATTAAGAACTCTGTGATACAGCCCATATTAGTATTATTAGGCTTATCAGTCATTCACAGATTTATGGCAGACTTTGTTGTGCCCTATTTTACTGCCCCTTGCCAACCTTTTTGCATTCCAGTATTGGCTGACTATTGTTACCATCTGGTACTTCTTTTCTGTAACCCCCCTTGATGTACATTTTCTATCAAAGTAGTGGTTCAGTCGTTGTCGTTGTATTGCAACAGTAAGTAAGAAATGCATTTTGCATCTTTCCTGTGATAGTCACTTGCTCTTTCAGCGGGCTGTTTCATCCCTTGGAGGAAGCACACCCTTTCAGAATACCACACAAACTCCACATAGAATAGCTCACAGCCAATGGCTAGACTTGTATGTGTCAGGCATGCAATAGATTCTCAATGGTATTGGGAACTTCTCAACCAACTCGGAGAGGAACGTGAGCGGTGCATTCTATTTTGCAGATGGCAAGGCGGTTGTCGTCACAGGAAGAAAGAAGGTATTTTTCAAATTATCTTGTGTTTATGTTGTGTTTAGTTGCCAACTATTGCTTCCTCATTACCTTTTGAGACAACTTCCTTCGTTGCTGAGTTATATTAAATGCACAGTTTTATTACCGTGCCCTGTGCAACGTTTGTCTCTTGTGCACTGAAGGATGTGTTTTTTTTCACCCCCCAAGGGTATTTTATTTGTCAGGATTAGGGATATCAATTACCTGCTTGAAGAGATATATACAACACCGAAGTTGAATTGTTTGTTGAGTTGATTGCTGTAACTTGGTGAAATTACTAGTTTCTAATGGTAAAGAGCATGAATATTGACAATTATCTAAGTATGTTCCAGGCTGCTCCTCGAAGAATACTTGAATGGTAAGCTGCATTTGCTTATTGCTTTCACCAATTTTGCACTTACAATCTAATTATTTATAATTTCCATTCTGTAGGTAAATAGGATAGTCAAATTCTGGAAGATTCCATGGATGCAACTTATTGCTAATGCACCGAGTCAGCTTCTGTATATATGCCGGATCATAATACTGCCAGTAACCTCGATAGGGTTTCACGCGTAATCGGAAGGCCAAAAGGGAGTCACATGAGGCAGTTACCCAGGTCCAGTCCAGGCCCTCACGGTGGAGGTAAAGCCCTACTCCTACTTGATTGAATTGATGGTGATAGCTTGGTATGGGAGCTATGATGTGGTGTACAATGGAGAGATCGCTATGATCACGTAGGTGTATCCAGATTAGATAATCTATGATCTAGTCCTAGGCCTTGCTTATACAGGGGACAAGGCCTAGGGGTTACAATGTTCCAGGTCGGTGACACCGGGGTGGGGATCCTTCGAGATCCCCGGGATAGCTTGTATTGATCGCCAAGTAGATGGATGCGTCTTGATGAGGTCGCCAACCCGTTAGAGGGCCTGGGCCACACCGTGGCCTGATGGGTCGACTTTTGGTCTGTCGGGTGTCGGGTACCCCTGGTACATGGCATCGTCAGTAGCCCCATTGTATCCTTGCTTACAGGGACAAGACCTAGGGTTTACAAACTTCAAGGTCTGTTATGCCTGGGTGGTGATCCTCTGAGATCCCCGGGATAGCTTGTCTTGATCGCCAAGTAGATGGATGCGTCCTGATGACGCCACCAACCTTTTAGAGGGCTTGGCCGCACCGTGGCCTGATGGGTCGACTTCCGGTCTGCTGGTTTACCCTTGGTACATGGCATCGTCAGTATCCCCCGAGTGCGTCATGGACTCGACTGCATCTGGGTTGCAATTGAAATGATCGTGCTATCTTGGACTGCTTGGCGAGGTTGTGAGGTACTCCTGGAATCCCTAAAATAAAAACAGATCTGGCTCTGCCTAATGAGAGGGCCATAGCAGCTGGACGTGCCTGGTGTGGATACCTGAAGGGGAACCTGGACCCGACCAGACAGGAGATGTGCCTGGTGGCCAGCTCCCTAGTTTTGCCAGTGGCTTGTTTACGAAGGGCCTAATGTCGACAGTAATCTCGATAGGGAGCCACTCGCAATCAAAAGGCCAGAAGGGAGTCACACGAGGCAGTTATTCAGGTTCAGGCCTTCACGGTGGAGGCAAGATCCTATTCCTGCTTTATTGAATTGATGGTCATAGCCTTGCATGAGAGATATGGTGTGGTGTACAATGGAGACATCGCGAAGGATCACGTAGGTGTATCGAGATTAGATGATATATGATCTAGCCCTAGGCCTTGCTTATGTAAGGGACAGGGCCTAGGGTTTGCAATTTCCGGGTTGGTTATGCTCGGGTGGGGATCCTTTGAGATTCCCGGGATAGCTTGTCTTGGTCGCCAAGTAGATGGATGCGTGCTAATGAGGCCGCCAGCCCGGTAACATGCCTGGGACGCAACGTGGCCCGATGGGCTGATTCCCGGCCTGGTGGGCTGACTCCAATCTGCTAGTGTTCCCCTGGTACATGGCACCGTCAATATACGAGGTGGGTTGACCATAACAACGGAAAAGCCTTTAGTCCCAAACAAATTGAGGTAGGCTAGAGGTAGAACCCATAAGATCTCGCGACCAACTCATGGTTCTGGAACATATGGATAGCAAGCTTCCACGTACCCCTGTGCATGGCTAGTTCTTTAATGATACTCTTGTCCTTCAAATCTCTCTTTACAGATTCCTCTCATGTCAAGTTCGGTCTACCCCGACCTCTCTTGACATTATCAGCGCGCTTTAGCCGTCCACTATGCACTGGAGCTTCTAGAAGCCTGCGCTGAATATGCCCAAACCATTTCAGACGATGTTAGACAAGCTTCTCTTCAATCGGTGCTGCCCCAACTCCATCTCGTATATCATATTCGGACTTGGTCCTTCCTCGTGTGGCCACACATCCATCTCAACATGCGCATCTCCGCCACACCTAACTGTTGTACATGTTGCCTTTTAGTCGGCCAACACTCAGCGCCATGCAACATTGTGGGTCGAATCGCCGTCCTATAGAACTTGCCTTTTAGCTTTCGTGGCACTCTTGTCACAGAGAATGCCAGAAGCTTGGCGCCACTTCATCCATTTGGCTTTGATTCGATGGTTCACATCTTCATCAATATCCCCATCCTCCCGTAGCATTGACCCCAAATATCGAAAGGTGTCCTTCTAAGGCACCACCTGCCCATCAAGGCTAACCTCCTCCTCGTGTCTAGTAGTACTGAAACCGCACCTCATGTACTCGGTTTTAGTCCTACCAAGTCTAAAACCTTTCGATTCCAAGGTTTGTCTCCATAGCTCTAACTTCCTATTGACCCTTGTCCGACTATTGTCGACTAGCACCACATCATTTGCAAAGAGCATACACCATGGGATATCTCCTTGTATATCCTTTATGACCTCATCCATCACCAAAGCAAAAATATAAAGGCTCAAAGCTGACCCCTGGTGTAGTCCTATTATAATCGGGAAGTCATCAGCGTTGCCATCACTTGTTCGAACACTTGTTACATCATTATTGTACATGTCCTTGATGAGGGTAATGTACTTTGCTGGGACTTTGTGTTTCTCCAAGGCCCACCACATGGCATTCTGCGGTATCTTATCACGATGAACACCATATGCAGGTCCTTCTTTTGCTCCCTGTATCTCTCCATAAGTTGTCGTACCAAGAAAATAGCTTCCATGGTCGACCTCCCAAGCATGAAACCAAACTGATTTTTGATCACGCTTGTCATTCTTCTTGAGCGGTGCTCAATGACTCTGTCCCATAGCTTCATTGTATGGCTCATAGCTTAATTCCACGGTAATTAGTACAACTCCGAACATTCCCCTTGTTCTTGAAGATTGATACTAATATACTCCGTCTTCATTCTTCTGGCATCTTGATGTAGGGTAGAACCCTAATCGGCCGATCTTTCACGAAAGGAGCGGATCCCGCGATGAACACGAAGAACACAAGGGAAAACGAGGGGAAACACGAGAGGAAACACGGGAAAATCACTAAACCAACACGAAATAGTCACACATGTGCTAGATCCTCGGGTACATAAGAGATCACACGATCCACGGACAACTAAGGACGATACAAAGGTAGCCGGTCTTCTCCGTGAGGAGGTCTTGATGTTCTTCTCCGCAAGGAGGTCTTGAATCCAAAGGGATCTTCTCTGAAGAGGGGCCGCGGTCTCTCTCGTGGAGTAGATCCGATGTGTATGAGCAATGCTCTATTTCTAAATATGAGCTAAACCAATGCTAACCCTAGAAAGTAGGACGAGGTGGAGAATATATAGTCTAGGGGGGCAAAGGGGTACACGGGCCTCGGCCCTTACACTGTGCGCAGACACGGGCCTCGGCCCTTACACTGTGCGCAGACAGGGGCCGCGGTCTCTCTCATGGAGTAGATCCGCTGATGCTTTTGGCTGTTTGTTGGGGCAGCTCCTGCGCGGCTGCCTAGGCGCCGGATGTCCGGCCTCTGGCCCGGATGTCCGGCTGCTGTAGCTTCAGCAGCTTCGTCTTCTTCCGTCGTCGCTTCCAGGCTTTCCTCGCGGATGGTGTAGTTGCACACTTGCGTTCGCACTCGTCGTCCGTAGCGTTCCGACAATACCTATGCATGCACACGAGTGGAGTGTCAAGTAGTATACCATCCTCGAAGGGGTCAAGTGAGCACGTGTAAAGGAGATGATTCACGTTTGTGTATGTGAAGTAGATGTCGCACGTGTCACTCGCCGAACGGACTCTTGACATGGTGATGTCCATAGGATGCTCCGCATCAAAACCTCTCCTCACCGCTGCATCAATTAGCTCACGAAGTTTACCTGTTGGGGACGACCCTACGTCCCAGCTACCTAAGCGGATCCTCCTAGGCTTGGCTAGCTTCCTTACCCTTCGCACTCATCGAGTCAAATGCGAAGACCCTTGCTCATTTTCCACTACACTCGGTCATCGATGTAGCGTGCCACTAAGGATGCGACGACCTGATCCTTGCTCACTTGCCACCGTATCCAGATCAAGATACGACG